GCTGGAGGCAAGAGGAGAAATGCTGAAGTCCTGCTTCTACTCAAAAGAAAGCCCTCCAACTAGGAGCTTGGGAGAGAAGGAGCTTGGGAGAGAAGGAGCTTGGTGTTCTTGGCGGTAGCAGTCTGGGGTGGAGTCTCCCTCACTAGGCTGGGTGGGAGGAGGGAGCAGTCTTGGTTCAGAAACCACATACTTGCCTTTCTTACTGATTCTACATTGATTTTTTTAAAAGAGTTATTTCTTGGGCGCCTGGGTGGCTCAGTCGTTAAGCGTCTGCCTTCGGCTCAGGTCATGATCCCAGAGTCCTGGGATCGAGCCCCACATCGGGCTCTCTGCTCGGAGGGGAGCCTGCTTCTCCCTCTCCCACTTCCCCTGCTTGTGCTCTCTCTCTCGCTGTCTCTCTCTGTCAAATAAATAAATAAAATCTTAAAAAAAAAAAAGTTATTTCTTCATTTGCTATTTGCCCTTAGGACAATTTCCGAGGTCTATGAAGGGTTGGTTTTAGGGGTGTGTGTGTGTGTGTCTCTATATCTGTCTGTAGAGATATATATAGCTTCAGTGGTGAAAAGGTCATCAGAGCATCTCATGCTGTCATGCTAGTAAGCGTTCATCTCTCTCCTCATCCATTTCTAACAAGCAGTGTCCTACCTCTTAGTGAAAACCCTCTCCTGAGGCAAGACGTTCCATCTTCGAGAGTTAGTCCTTATTCTGGCTGATAGATACCTGTTGATCCTGGCCCTTCCTCTGGAAGCCATTAGAAAGATACCTCATTCCTTTTTTATATAGCAGCCTTCCCAGTGCTTTCTGTAGGTGAAGTCCTGAGTCCCCAGGCCTAGTCTCCTGTGCAGGCAGAACATTCACAGTTCCGTTCCTCACTCACTTCTCCCCCTCATACCCTACCTCTTCTGTTCCCACCATGCTACTTTAGGGCAGGTCAGCTTAGAGCAGAACAAGATCATCCCTTTCCTCATTCTAGGTTCTCTAAATGAAACCAAAGGCACATTAGATTTTTAGCAGCCATTCTGCACGGTTGACTCAATGAACATGTTGATAGCAAGCTCCTGATTCTGTTCCCACGCACCACTGACCCCATCCTGTGTAACTGCTGTTGGTTTCTAGAGCCAAGTGCAAGACTTGTATTGTTTCAGATTACCTCTTTGGGAATCAAGTTTTTTCATTCCATGCATTGGCCTCTTTTATCTTTATCCAGCTAACTAATAAAATATTTGTATAAAGCAGAGCCAGGGGTAGAGCCCCACAGAGACCTAGATAGCATTACTTATTAGTCACCAGGTTCTGTTAATTGAGAGTTAATGGGTGTGATTTTTCTGCTTCAAATAGGACACCCCTTCATGAACAGTTGACGTTGTTTTCAGAGTGGAGTTAGATCATAGGAGTCTCTCACAGTGGGGCTGTGTGTGGGGCCATGTCAGAGCCAGTGGTTGCTCTGTATTCCATCGTGGTGCCCTCTCAGTATACGCAGGTGAACTCCCTTACCAAAAGAAGTAATGTCCCCATGGCTACCATCTCCTTGGAGTTTTGGACCCTGCTGAAGTTCAGAGTATTGCTCAGGTTAGAAATGGGCCTTTCCCTTCCAACAGAGTTTCCTGACAAAGCTCTTAGGCATTTCCTACAATATGTGGCAGGGGTCTTTTTTTCTCTTCAGTAGGTATGACAGAGCAGCTAACAGCCCATTATTTTTCATTAAAACAACTCAGTAGGCCGTTCTTAATTGCACTCTGCTGAATGATCACCTATTTGTAAAGGTCATAGAATCCAAACAGCAGAGCTTTGCAAGGTTTGAGCTGCTCTAATGTATGTGTTGTTCTCGAGAGGCTGATCTACTGTTACTGCAGAGTAGAGCTTTCTGTCTGGACTACTTTCCCAAATCAGTTCACGTGCCATCCCTGAAAGCTCACGCTCCTTTCGTAGTATCGGAACATGGGGTTGAGTCTGTTCATGAAACAGTGAGAAGTCTTTGGGTAAAGTAGAAGGAAAGGAAAAGATGAAGATGAAATGCAAGCTGGTGCTGAGTGCAGTCTGTTCTCTCAGACAAAAGCCACTGCCGTGGGTCTCTTGTGTTTTGTTGTTTTCTGTACATATCCTAGGGGCATTCTAGTTGTGATTTACATTTGGTTCTTCTCTTGTGCCATAAATAAGTTATAGCTCCCTGTTTTGTTTTGTTTTTAAAGATTTTATTTATTTGACAGACAGCGAGAGAGGGAACACAAGCAGGGGGAGTGGGAGAGGGAGAAGCAGGCTCTCCGCTGAGCAGGGAGCCCGATGCGGGGCTCGATCCCAGGACCCCGGGATCATGACCTGAGCCGAAGGCAGACGCTTAACGACTGAGCCACCCAGGCGCCCCATAGCTCCCTGTTTTGTGTGAAATATCTACTAGTGGTAGATATTACTCCAGATACAGCATATTCTTAAAAGGAGAGACTCCTCGGGGCGCCTGGGGTGGCTCAGTCGTTAAGCGTCTGCCTTTGGCTCAGGTCATGATCCCGGGGTCCTGGGATCGAGCCTCACATCGGGCTCCCTGCTCAGCGGAGAGCCTGCTTTTCCCTCTCCTACTCCCCCTGCTTGTGTTCCCTCTCTCACTGTGTCTCTCTGTGTCAAATAAATAAAAAAAAAAAAAAAAAAAAAAAAAGGAGAGACTCCTCTCTACATGGTTAAGTCACGTAACTTTCATTTATTGACTAAGTCAGTTAAGACTACCTTTTTATGGTACTAATTGGGGCAGTCCATATCTGTCTCTAGCAACTTCACAGCAATAGAAGAGAAAATAAAATTATACAGAAATATCTCTGCAATCATTGGAAAGAAGAAATTCTCTAATTCCAGTGTCCTCTCTCTGCATTTCACTTAGCTCCGAGAAGCCCTCTGTGCTTCGTGTTTACCTCAACAGTGTTGTCATTCCGCAGTCAGTGTGTACCTCCACTGTTCCAAAAGTCTTCACCAACTCCATGGTCTCTGTCTTCTGGGGCTCCAGTTCATGCTCCACCTCTTCTTATGCTTGGAAAACTTAAGTGGAGCCCTGTCACTAACAAAGTGAAGTCTGAATTGGTTTAGATTGACAGTGTGGGCTTTGCGTGCATCACCAGCCCGCACTTCATCTTCATCTTCTTTCCTTCCTTCGTTAGTCGATGGAAATTTCTCATTTCCTAAACATAGCCAATCCCATGTTCATATATCTGCTTTTGTGATGCCTTGTTTGTAGCCTCCAGTTCAAATTCTGCCTTAATTCATTCCAAAAATATGTATTGGGCTCTTACTATGTGGCAGGCATGGGTCTAAGTGCAGGGCTTTGTAGGGAACAAAACCAGTCTCTGCCTTCACAGAACCCCCATTCTGGTGGCAGGGTTAGATATTAGACAAATGAAGATATGGTAACTCAGTTTTTTGTTTTTTGTTTTAAGATTTTTTTTTTATGTTTATGGCTCAGTAGGTTGAGTTTTCTTTTTTAAGATTTTATTTATTTATTTGAGAGAGAGAATGAGATAGAGAACATGAGATGGGGGAGGGTCAGAGGGAGAAGCAGACTCCCCGCTGAGCAGGGAGCCCAATGTGGGACTCGATCCTGAGACTCCAGGATCATGACCTGAGCCGAAGGTAGTCGCTTAACCAACTGAGCCACCCAGGCGCCCTTATTTATTTTAAAGAGAGTGAGCATGCAGGTCAGGGGAGGGGCAGAGGGAGAGGGAAAGAATCTCCGGCAGACTCCCTGCTGAGCTCGGAGCCTGACATGGGGCTCTGTCTCATGACCCTGAGATCATGACCTGAGCTGAAATCAGGAGCCAGACACTTAACCAACTGAGCCACCCAGGTGCCCCCAGTATTTCAGATTTTGGTAAGGCTATGGAAGAAAAGCATTATGAGGGAGATAAAAAGGGAGATTGCTGTTTTCTACAGAGTGATGACGGAAGGTTGACAGGTAATATTTTCTGTCTAAAAAAGTGAAGGTGCAGTCCATGGGAACATGAGGGGAACGAGCATTCTAGGCAGAAAGAACAGCGAATGCAGAGGTCTTGAAGCAGGAGAATGCCCCCAGGAATAATGAGGCCCCTGCACATGGGCATGCATCTTGTAGGTGTGGTAGTGAGCACTCTTGGAGGTTCCCTTCATCCTTGGGTTCTAGGTCACTGAGGAACTAGAAGTCCGTGGAGTCTGTGGACAATATGGAGGGGGTGAGAAATGTTGGAGGTTTGAAGAGAGGGGTGAAGAAGATAGGAAATAAACACATGGCAGAGTGGCAAGAGTGAGTAGACTAGGAAGTCTCAGGGAGGCTGCTTGCTGTTCGTAACCATGAATTTAAATGTCTTTGAGGGGCACCTGGGTGGCCCTTTAAGTCTTTAAGCGTCTGCTTTCTGCTCAGGTCATGATCCCAGGGTCCTGGGATCGAGCCCCGCATCGGGCTCCCTGCTCAGCGGGAAGCCTGCTTCTCCCTCTCCCACTCCCCCTGCTTGTGTTCCCTCTCTCGCTGTCTCTCTCTGTCAAATAAATAAAGTCTTTTAAATGAATGAATGAATGAATGAATGAATGAATGAATGTCTTTTGAGCCGATCACCTCTTACTCTGAATTCTTGTGAGCAATTCTTGCCCATTCTTCATTTGGCACTTGGCATACAGTACCTTCTGTTATTGTTTCTTGGTGTCTGGCCTAACTTTCTAACTTGTCATTTGTTGTTTTTCTTAAATGTGTTACATCTCCCCTGGTTCCTCAGCTGCTTTGAGGCAGCTTTCAAGACACACACAGAAAAGGACAAAAGTGAATTACTGAGGGTGTCAGAGAAAAATGAAAATATATCTGATTCGAATTCAGCAATAGCTTAAAGCATTTGGGGAGGAGGAATCTTGAATGAAACCACCTTGAAATCTCCACTTCCTAAAACAGGATAGTTTAGTGAAACTGGAAAGTATGTAAATCATTACTGTAACGGCCCAGTGAAACCCACGTGTGCATTGCCTCAGTTCTTGTTGCTCACATTCACCCTGGTTTCCAGGAAGAAAGTTTTATGTGTACCCAGGATATTGACTCCTTACAGTTTACACGGCCAAGTCAGAAATACTTGGTAAGGACCACAGTGGTTGCCGTGCAACTCGCCGATGAGAGCATACACAGGCCTGTGTGCGGTGAGTAAATGCCCGCGCCCTTCACTCCCAGGCCTGGTGGTCCTGGGCAGGCATCGCGGGACCCAGCAACCTGCCTTACCTGTATTCTCCTCTCTTACTTCTTCCCTCTCTTCTTTGGGGTTATTTGACCATTTTTTTAATACTGATTTTGATTCTTCTGTTGCTTTTATAGCTAAATCTCTCTGTTTTGTTTTGTTTTGTTTTGTTTTAGTGGTAGCTGTAGGGATTACAGAATACATCTTTACCTTATCACAGTCTAATCAGAGTTAATATTTTACTACCTAACCCAAACTGCAGGAACCTTGCAGTGCTATAGGCTCATTTACTAACCTCTCATCATCTAGTTCTTTTTATAGTTTCCGTTTTTCTACTGGGGTTCCCTCATGTATTTATTTATTAGGTCCATCCTTTAAATCTTTAAACATATTTATAAAATAGATATTTTAAATTCCTTATCTGCTAACCCAGTATCTCTCTGCCGTCTCTTAGTCTGTTTTTATCAGTTGCTTTCCTGGTTATAAATCCTGTTTTCCTACTCCACTTATCTGGAGACTTTTGATTGTGTGGTAGGCATTATGGACACTGTGTTGTTGAGCATCTGGATTTTATTGACTACCTTTAGAGACTTCTGAGTTTTGTTTGGCCGGTTACTGTTAAATCAGTTACATATTTTTGAGGCTTATTTTTAAGCTCTGTTTAGGCAGGTTTAGGATACCCTACTCCTAATACGTAGCTTTCTGATAATCTCATTGGATACCCAGGGTGTTTATCAAGGTCTTTGCACTCTAGCTAGTTAGTATTCCCATGTCTTCCAGCACTTTGCAACCTCTAGAAACTCCATTTAACTCACAGCTCTGTTCTCTGCCAGGCTTCTGGAGTCTTGCCCACATATGTGCAGCTGAGTATTAGGCCACAAACTTAAGGGGACTCCTGTATAGATTTTCAGCTAAGCTTCCTCCTCTTCAGATTTACCCACTGCCCAGCCCCAAATGCCTATCTCTAATTCCTCAGTTCAGCAACACTGCCATGCTCTACTTGGACTCTCATCCAGAAAGTGTCTCCAGATAGAATTCCAGGGAAATCATGGGACTCTGAATGTTTCCCTTCTGCCAAGGATTACAGTCCCATTCTGCCTTTTGTCCAAAGTTAGAAAACAACAGTTATATATATTTTAGCTGGTTTTATGTTATTATGGGAGAGCTGGTCTAATTCAGTACCATTACTTTCTAATGGCAAGATTTGGAAGTCTCTGTAGTTTGGGGGGAGTTTTTTAAAGTACAGTAAACAATAGCTTAATTATAACTTTCATTCACTTTCCGTATTATCACTTCACTTCCCGCCCTCTACCTTCCAACAGCCATGTTTTTTTTTGTTTGTTTGCTTGCTTGGTTGGTTTTTTTTTTAAAGATTTTATTTATTTATATGACAGGGAGAGACATAGCGAGAGAGGGAACACAAGCAAGGGGAGTGGCAGAGGGAGAAGCAGGATTCCTGCTGAGCAGGGAGCCCGATGTGGGACTCAATCCCAGGACCCTGGGATCATGACCTAAGCCAAAGGCAGACGCTTAACGACTGAGCCACCCAGGCGGCACCCCCAACACCCATGTTCTACGGAGAGAAATGGTTCCAAAGCTTTTCTGTCTTTTGGACAGTGAATTGACATCTCAAATAACCAGAGTACAGCCACAAGGCATCAGTTCTCTTTTTCTTTTGATTTGTCGTTACATTGTTAACTTGTATTGGGTTTTGCTAATTTCAGGGTTAAGTTTGCTTTTCCATTTGATTCTGTATTCCTGTTGTTATCAGGTAATCATTTTGAGGTCTGTGTAGTTAAGATGGGCAGGAATACTAGAACTGAAAATGTTTCAGCAGTCATGGCCCTGATAGAAAATCATTAAGGACCCTGCCTTCTCAGAAGAGCTCTTTGTCATAATTGCTAGCCCACAGTGGCATCCATCAAGATAATTGTTCGACTTTATTCTTAAGTAGGCAACAGTTAGATAATCAAAGGGTAGTAAGCCTTAATTACATATATGAAATGAATGCTTTCCCTGTTTTTATTTTTTTTAATAAGGTCACTGATAAGACACAGGAGGATTTCTGACTAGCAATAGAAAAAATGCCACCCCACTAAGAAGCTTTCTTTGTAACTCCATTTCCCATAAAAATAAATCTTACCAGATTTTTTTTAGATCTTCCTTTCCTGACAAAAAGGAAAGACCATAATATACCACAATGCAGGAGCCTAAGTTTGCACAGGACTGTTCCCTCAGGAAGGAAGGAGGTAGGGGTCCCAGCCCAGTTGTCATCCATTTTATTTCCCAGGACTACCATTTTTTATTTCTGTTTCTAATGCTGCAGAACACTGGAGGCAGCAACATCCATCAGTTATTTTTTAATGTGTTTGAGAATTTGAGTCAATGACCAACCTTTTGTAATAATAATAATAATCCTGTCAAGATAATAGGGAGGTTTTAATGCATTTGACCAAGAACGATATTTTTTAAAGTTTAAATTACATTTTACAGTTGCCTAAAAGTTTTTAGAAGTCCCATTTTTTTAGGCATAATGAGATTATTAGCTTTGCCACCACAGGTCTTCCCCAGATTGTTGCCTTTCAAAGCAGGTTAGGCAAGGAGTAGCCAAGCATGGACAGGTGAATATACAGGTATCAGAGACTTCAAACCCATCTGGGGACAATTATTTTTGTGAGGGAGCAAAATGGGTAGACAAGCAAAACAAAAATTATTGTGTACCTCTACTTAATGACACAGTATGGCACTAACATTATGGATGGTCCCACCAAGGATCCTGCTGGGGTCCTCAGATACATGCACTCCTGGCACACTGAGCAGCTCAGATGGCCCATGGGAAGTCCATAATACCTTATACACCCATAGCACCTTACGTTTGTCTATACAACAGAAAAAATACCTACATAGCCTACTTCATGAAGCTCTTCTGAGGTAACTGGAGTGGTCTCTGGCTTTATTCTAGTTAATTGTTTTTTTTAAGATTTTATTTATTTATTTGACAGACAGCACAAGTAGGCAGAGCAGCAGAGAGAGAGAGAGGGGGGAGCAGGCTCCCACTGAGCAGGGAGCCTGACGCGGGGCTCGATCCCAGGACCCTGGGATCATGACCTGAGCCGAAGGCAGCCGCTTCACCAACTGAGCCACCCAGGTGCCCCTATTCTAGTTATTTTCATGTTTAATGCACGCATTAGCCAAATGTATGCATTAGCCTTTATTGTCTCTAATGGACACATGAGAAAACTGACCTATTAGATAGTCTAATCCTATAGCCCACTATCCCACGTTGGTGACAACTAACTAACATCAAGGATATCAGCCCAACTAATTAGTGTCAGAGCCAAGTTCAGAATTTCTTCTGTGATGGCAGAAAATAGTCATGAGCACCTAGTGTATGCACAAACCTGTCTTCACATTGTTGTGGGTGAGGTCTCTCACTGAAGAACTTAGCTTTAGTTCTTTTTTTTCCCCCAGTATAGTTAACATACAGTGTTGTGTTAGTTTCAGGTGTACAATATAGTGATTCAGCAATTCTGCACATTACTGAGTGCTCATCATAAGTGTACTCTTTAATCCACTTTAACTTTTTCACCATCCCCACCCTCCCCCCACCTCCCCTCTGGTAACCATCAGTTCTCTGTATTTAAGAGTTTGGCTTTTTGTCTCTTTTTGTTGTTGTTCATTTGTTTTGTTTCTTAAATTTCGCATATGAATGAAATCATACAGTATTTGTTCTTCTCTGACTTACTTCACTTAGTATTATACCCTCTAGATCCATCCATGTTGTAAATGGCAAGATTTCACTTTTATGGCTAAATGATATTCCATTGTGTGTATATACAGACGTGCGCGCACGCACACACACACACACCAATGTCAGAGAAATTACTGCCTGGGCTGTCTTCTAGGATTTTTATGGCTTCAGGTCTCACATTTAGGTCTGTAATTCATGTTGAGTTTATTTTTGTGTGTGGTGTAAGACAGTGGTCTAGTTTCATTCTTTTGCATGTTGCTGTCCAGTTTTCCTAACACCAGTTTGTTGAAGACACTGTATTTTTTCCTGTTGCATATTCTTGCCTCCTTTGAAGGTTAACGGACCATGTAATCATGGCTTTATTTCTGTGCTCTGTTCTGTTCCCCTGATTCATGTATTTGTTTTTGTGCCAGTACCATACTGTTTAATGTCTACAGCTTTGTAGTCTCTCTTGAAATCTGGGATTGTGATACCTCCAGTTTTGTCCTCCTTGTTTAAGATGGCTTTGGCTGTTGGGGGTCTTTTGTGGTTCCGTATTTGTTCTAGGAACTTAGCTTTAGTCCTTAGCATTGTCAGCTCTCACTGGGCTTCTTCAGCTCAGTCCTCCAAAATGTATTTTTAAGCACGACACTAATCACTGTAGCTCATTTCATCAACTCTTCTCTCTCCGGAGTCTTTTATTAAGACTTCATGGGCCTGGGCGCCTGGGTGGCTCAGATGGTTAAGCATCTTGCCTTCGGCTCAGGTCATGATCCCAGCGTCCTGGGATCGAGTCCCGCATAGGGCTCCCTGTTTCTTGGGAGGCTGCTTCTCCCTCTGCTTCTCTCTCTCTCTCCCACTGTCTCTCATGAGTAAATAAATAAAATCTTAAAAAAAAAAAAGACTTCATGGGCCTGATAGGATGAGTTTCTTTAACTAGAAAGTAGAATCATGAAAGAGCTCAGAAAGATTGGAGGCCACCCATGTTTCAGGAGCTTGGCACAGGCACCTTGACCCCCAGCTAGACCTCCTCTGCTCCTGACACAACCTTCTGTGTCCCTGAAGAGTGACTTTCTGTCAGGCTTCTTCCACACTGATGCCAGGAGCAAGGCAAGTGAAAGAAACCTCTGGAACTAGACTGCTCCAATTCAGTCTGGCTTGCCCACCACCCAGAGTGACTTAGTTGCTCTAGCTGGGAAATAAGGATGACGGAAGTACGGCCCTCACAGGGTTTT